TCGAAAGGTATCGTACAATGAAACTTTACAATGCGAGTATATTTGTAAAATTATGTGCAAGAATTTCTGTTCAGAATTTCCCGTGCAGGATTGTCTGACCTGCACGGCTGTTGACCAATCAAATTGCGTGTTTCACTGTAGTTATTATTTAGTGTCATTTGATTACGTGGGACGTGAAAAATTGTTGAGCTCAGCGAAAATATCGACTCTTCGCCTGAACATGCCCACGACTACCTGTAATAATATCCATTTATATGCATTAGGATCCTATTGGTTATGCAAATTCGTATTGCCTTAATCCCCTTAATTACTTCAACCTTTGTGTTACACGCGTGGGGATTACTGACAACATTTCCATCAGAATATTTGTGTTTCTATCAATAAAAGCTATATATTTAATTATTTACTTTGAATATATGCTTGTAAAACCATCGTTTTTATCCCATTTCGTTGAAAGTAACATAAGCAGTGTGCTATATCATTGTCATTGAGAAACTTTATATTATTTGCAATGGTAAATCATCGCACTCACTATTAATACTAAGTCACATTCCGAGCAAAGTAATTATATTTCCTTTAAATTTATCAAAAATGGGACATATCTCAAGATGGTTCTGTACCTATATTAATGTGGAGTATATTAATTAATGTGGAATTATATTAATTAATGTGGAGATATGTTAATTAATATGGGGTATGTTAATTAATGTGGAGTTATGTTAATTAATGTGGAGATATGTTAATTAATGTGGAGGTATGTTAATTACTCTCCACACTCCACCACACTCCACCACACACCTTGACAACTGTGTATGATGCTAAAAGCATAGCAACGGTGTAACCATCTCAGTTACTGAACATTTAATATACGCACCCTCACTCACTCTCATATTACTGATATATTAATTACCTCCGCCCAACTCCAATGAGGTATGTTAATTAATTAATGAGGAGGTATGTTAATTAATGCGGGGATATATATAATTAATCTGGAGGAGGTATATTAATTAATGTGGAGGTATACTAATTAATGTGGAGGTATGTTAATTAATATGGAGTATATTAATTAATGTGGAGGTATGTTAATTAATGTGGAGATATGTTAATTAATGTGGAGGTATGTTAATTACTCTCCACACTCCACCTCAATCCACTTCCCTCCACTACACACCTTGACAACTGTATGATGCTAATAGCATAGCAACGGTGTAACCATCTCAGTTACTGAATATTTAATATACGCACCCTCATTCACTCTCATATTACTGATATATTAATTATCTCCGCCCCACTCCAATGAGGTATGTTAATTAATTAATGTGGAGGTATGGTAATTAATGTGGTAATTAATGTTAATTAATCTGGACGAGGTATATTAATTAATGTGAAGTATACTAATTAATGTGGAGGTATGTTAATTAATGTGGAGGTATACGAATTAATATGGAGGTATATTTATTAATGTGGAGATATGTTAATTAATGTGGAGGTATGTTAATTACACTCCACAACACCTGTTGTTACACTATTAATATTGACCAAAAGCCGGCCAAAGGTCATGTTTTCAATAACAAAGATAGCCATTTATTGTCAACAAATAACAAGGTTTGATTTCTTCTTTTCGGGCAAGTATTTGTTAATTTGATTTCAATTCGTAATTAGTAGGAATCGGCAAGTCAGAATATTATTAAAAAACATGTTTTACGCAATAATTTTCCAGCAATAATTTCACCCCCGGTAATTTTTTTCGAATTTTTAACAAATTAAGAATTTTTAGTGTTCCGGTGTTCCGGAATGATGCTGTTCCGGTGTTCCGTTGTTCCTGGTTTTACTAATAGCCCTTTGGTGCAAACTAAATTTAGACCGTGCAAACTAAATTTAGACCGTACAGTTTATACTGTTTTTCAAAATATAAGAATATAAGCTATTCAAGCGAAAGTTTAAATGTTTTAAATACTGTTTTCTCAAAACAGCACATTTCGTGCTTTGAGATAAGATGGCCAAGACCAATTTGATCAGTTAATGTGTTTTTTATGCATAGTGCTTCAGCAGTTGTCATATATAGAAATGTAAGAATATATGTCAAGCTGGATAAAAGTGAACAAGTACATTTTCGTTTAAAAAGTTATATGCGTAAAAATTCATTATCTGAAATTTTATATGTCATGCTCAGCAGAACAAGCAGGACATCTGGCTTCGCCACTGAATACACATGTTTTAACAATCGCCAGATACAGCATCACGTCGAAATGACCTATAGAAACGTACCCATATACAAAGATATTACCCCAATCAAAGATTGTAAACAATGTCGTCGGCAAGTCACTATTAGTAAAATGGCATATCAAAAAAAATGCAAGTGTAAAGTCTTAAGAAATAAAGTGAAACAATTATGCAAAATCTTATTAAATTGGTAAAAATTTGTTATACAGGGTGTCCACCAAAAATGCAGTAGTAACATCGCTCCAGATTTTCACACAGCTCATTATTAGTGGGAATCGAATTTGAAAATTGAATCCAAGAGATGAATTTTGACACTAAGATTTGGTTCTGCTAAACCAATTTTAATAGCGTGAAATTTATCAGTAAGATTGAATTTTAAAATTAGCAGGGGTGTATATTCTTATACACGGGTCTTAGGGCCAGGCAAGAAATTCAAAGAAAAGTGAAAAAGAAAGGAAGGGAAAAGAAAGAGCGAAAAGAAGAGAAAAAAGGGGAAAGAATAGAAAGGACAAAAGGAAAAGGATGAGAATGCAAAAGAACTGAGAAAACTTGATCAGTTTCATATGATGTCAGCAAGGAGGGGCAGGGGTATAGTTGACGTATGCCTTTTTATGGCAAGAGCAAGGGGAATTGGAACATAATGTCAAATAATATTTAAATCAAATTTAAAAAAAGTGAATATATATTGTTTGTGAAACTAAAAACGTTTGTTAAAAGATGAACGAAATTTAGAGGGAGAGGAGTACTTTTTAATAGTAACATCTCTAGTTAATATATCAATAATCAATTATTTTGTTGTGCTGTTTATCGTTGAGATGCAGAAGTTCTACATAAACAGGAAAATTTGTTATCAAAATCAGCATTGTAACGTCATTTTTCTACCTTAAACCAAACGTTTTTTCAAAAATAATTATTTAAATCGAAGGAAAATTACTGGAATAGTAAAGGTAGAGCCCAGACTCCGATGTCGTGCACAAATTTCTTCAAGATACAGGGAAGAAAATCAAAGCTGAAGGGGGGGGGAGGAATCAAAGGTCATTGAAGAATATACACCCTTGAAAATTAGCAATAAAAAATCTGGAATACTGCTACTGCAATTTTTTTGGGACACACTGTATTATCAAAGATAAATTCTCAATCTTGATGAAAATCCGAGGGGCCCCGGGGGAGTGAGGAAGCCCAGGGAAACTTTGAAAGGAAATTTTAACGATGGGAGCTCAACCCTGAGCACTGCATGTACATGGGCAAGGGAAATAAAACCGCAAACTTCGCATGTGTAGGTATGGATGGTTAGAATCTGATCAAACGATATTGTCAAAAGGAAAGTTTCTATACATTTCTACAGTTTCTTGACGTCACGATGTTTTAAAAGTACACGCGTAGAAACATTGAAAATTAGTATTTATGCACAAGTGACCATAACAAATCCTACAAGTTGATCGATTAAATTTGACGTTTTAAGCTGTTATATTCACCTACAGGTGAATATAACAAAATCGAAATTTTCAAAATGGCGGCTAGCCATTTTGTTGAAGTTAGTGATAAAGAAATAAGCGAAATTAAAATTATGAATTCACACCAGAAAACACAAAATAACTTGTGCAAAAATACTAAAAGAATTATTCGCCTCAGGCTCGTTGATTATCGGGGAACATTCACCTCGACTTCGTCTCGGCGAATATTGCCCGATAATCACCTCGCCTTCGGCGAATAATTGTTAAATACTATTAAATTAATAATATAAATAATTGTACACCCCCTCCCGAATAAGTTTTGTTGATCAATCGTCCAAAGAACCATCGATGGCGACTTGATACACAGCTGCGAAGTGATCATAACCAGACTTGATTACAAAGCGAAGATGACTTGCAGAGGTCGCTGGCATCTGGAAGTCAAACAATTGCGTAAGTTACAACAGTACCGTAGAAAAACAATACCTAAACAAGCATGTAGGGTATGACTAAATGGAGAGTTATTACAGAGAGAGAATTAAATTGGATAGTTAAGATTTCGGAGAGTTTAGAGCCACACGTACTTTCTCCAGCGACTACACCCAGGGCCGCCGAGAGGTTGGCGGGGCCCGGGGCAAAACGTATTTAGGGGCCCCTATTTAAAAAATTTTTCCGGAAAAATTTTTTTTCGGACAACAACCTCCAGGCTTTGAAATATCGGTCGGTCACGGACATTGTCCGACGCATTCGTGAAATTGTCCGACGTAGAGAGGAAACCACCGGACATTCTGTCTGACCTAAGTGAAACTGAGGTTTATTCTTTGTCCGACCTGAGTGTATTTGTGTCCGACCGAACTGTAGCTTTGTTCAACGTATAAATCAAAATGTACCCTAGCCCAGGACTAGAGGCTTGTATGTTAAATGGAAAAAAAGAGTATACTATTGTATAAAAGGTGAACTGGAAATATTGTTTTAACGTAGTCGAGCGCGGGGCGGCGAGCGAAATGGTGAAGTGGAAAACGGGTTTAAGTTGTCGAAGTCTTTTTTCATACTGCTGTTCTGGCAAGCAAGTTAATTTTGGCTTGGAAATAAGTATGAAAGAAACAAATTATTTAATATTTTTACAACATTTACCGTTTATTCATTTGTGTCATTCAGACTTATTTCCGAGTCAAAACTGAACTGAAGGTTATTGGACATATGTCCGACCCAAACTCAACGTCACCGGACATTTTGTCAGAAGGCCCTGTAAATGGGTTCAGGAGAACTGTTGCCAACCATAAAACCCATGTCTTTAACTGTATTAAATTCATAAGATTGATGATAATACACGACGAATTATCTTTACTGCCATTTATTCGAAGAAGTTTGTTTTGGCCGTCGCTGTCGCGTTGCCGTCTTAAAATCGTAGGGTCTCTAATAAACCAAGATTGCTGACGTCCATGATAAATCCAAGATGGCGGCTCAACCGGGCAAAAACACATACAGCTAGTATTACGAAATGACTTTTAATTTTTTGGTGCTTTCACGTATGTTGGTATTTACACGATTTTCCTTTGAGTGGAGGATTCTGAGTGCCCTGATAGGAACCTGCTGCGTTTGATTGATAGAATCACATTTTCCACTGACGATCATACAACCGCAGTGGCTGAATCCCATCAGTGGTGTAGCTCCTTCGGGTGCCGCCCGGCACAACCCAGCTCCCCAACCACCGGGTCATTGAAGGAGCTCTGAGCGAAGATGACAAAGGGGCTCAGTTAAATTATTTCAACAAATTTTAGAACTCCTTGGAATAACCTTAGCCTCCTCCGCAGGAATACTTGTGGATTATGGCCTGCGAATAGGACATGGTTCCGATCTACCCGATTCTCGAAGAGATGCTTGCGGAGGAGGTCAGTGTAGCCGCCCTCCACTTTGAATGGGCAGGATCGATCAGAGGGTCCTCTCAAGTTTAACCCAAGGGAACTTTAGCACAAAGTTATGCCACTGAACCACATTTGCAGATGTGATATGCATACATGCACTAAAAGTGAAGTAGTTTAGCGAATGTATTTTTCTGGATTTTAGAGCTTACAAGATTAAGGTATTATCTTTGTATTTCAATGTTTCTCGGGGTTCTTCTGAAAAACACAATGTGGTATGTGAATTCTCCTGAATAAACAATATTATCTATATATCTACATGTAAACCCAAACAGATCACTCAAACTGACCAAATAAAAACCATTTTCATGCAACGTCTAGGACAGATATTTTCATATTATTCACCACAACCTGTTCAGTTTACATCCCATCCTCTTCGCAATAAATACTTTGTGAACTCGGATTCCAAGTAGTAAAACCACAAAAAAAAGTTTAAAAAAACCCACATTGACTTCGAAATACTAGCTATATGTTTATTGCCCGGTTGAGCTGCCATTTTGGATTTGTCATAGAGATCACGCCTCCGATAGATACACCAGCAATTTAGGTCTCGTATATACCTATGCACTGCCTCCTTTACAGGGTCTCATGTTTGATGGGACGGTCACAATTCCAATTGGTGTGTGACCTTCCGCTGGTATGGAAGGGCCGGTAAGAAGGTCACACAATTCCGCCTGCAGAATCTTGTAAAAAATAGCCATTAAATCTTTTCGCAATTAAATATGCAGTAATAAATTTACAGTAGTTAACTAGCGATAATATGTAGTAATTAGTAGCGATCGTTTCAGCCAATCACGGCAAAATCGTATCTGATTGGTCAACAACACGTAGCAACAACAAAAATCGATAAAAATAGAAAAAGTATGTTTCACGACCTTCAGGGTGGGTTTTTGCATAAGAGCTTTAAGATGGTCAATATTCAGCCATGATATCTTCCGAGGATCAACTCCGATTTGAACTATTCTTTCAAGTTATATACGTGAGATAAGAAGCTTCAAAATGCCTGATGAGTTTCTAGATGGTGTCAAGTAATCGACAAAAGATGTTCTCATTTGATTATTCCCCGATGGAAGTAATAAAAACGCACGCATTATCGATAATAAATTCTCTTTGACCGCAGAATTTTCCTACAACATAAATATACTGATTACGTACTCAGAGTGATACTCTACGTACAGTCCGGCTATATATTTAATATGTTTGAACTGTATTCATACTAAAAATATTGCGAAATATAGCCACAACTATGCATATTAAAATCTGTTTTATATTCAAACTTCACCCAAAGGCTTTTGCCCTAGGTTGCATCCGTATCACGCGCGTACTCCGCCCTGTATGAATAAACTCGTTGAATAAATAATTGTCTTACCGGAAATTCGTCTATTTGTAGCTGTCCATCGAGGTTACTTAGTTCTAAACAACGAAAGGATGCGTTTATGACTGTTCATTGATGAACGTGCGTTTTAGTCTATTGAACATGGCGCAACGAATTTTAGGTGTAACTTTACCAAATATTTAGTGAAGAAAGCCAAGAAAATGCCGATTTCGAAAATTTTCATTTGATTGGTATTCTGTTTAAACATATCCAGTATTGACTATTGACTGACGAAAAAAAATATATAGGTATCCCATAAAAAAATAAAAATATGTTTATAGTTTACCTCAACGTTTGTCTACATGTCTCGATTTGAATCTTCATAGGTACGGTAAAAAAAAACGTGTGCGGAAAATTTCTCTTCTTCAATGTTTTTTCTGATATGACGTTTTCTTTGACAACTTCGTGAATTATCAGTGACAAATCTAAGAATCAGGGCATATTAGAAAAATAGGTATATGTATATGTATCTGCTCATGGTGATTGCATTGTTGCCAAGGGCTTCAATCAATACTCAGTAGCTTGTAAAAATTTTAAAGGACTGATGTTTAACAGTTGACCAGTTAAATAAATAAAATTAGATTTATAGTATGTCAGATGAAAGAAAAATAAAATGGCTGATATATATTCAATTTGCAGAAACTAATTCCGGCCATAACTTCACAAAGATGATATTCAGTTTTATGATATTCTTGTCGGTGATGCGTGCCGCCCGCCCATCAACTTGCTTCACTACTGCAAAGTCTTGCTTGACTACAGTATTTGAATTGTAATTGTTGTTCACAGTCGCTTATCATCATATTATTACTCAAATTACTGTATCTCATTTCGTCTCTAATACTTTTTTGCTTTATCATGAAAAATAGCACCCCCCCCTGCACCCCCTCTGGCCAGGGCTAGGGGAGTGCACACCCGTCACTGCATCCCCCCCCCCGCCGTAAATCCATCCCTGTGTTCTTGTTAAAACATTTCGGGTTCTAAATCTTCTTGACAGTTCATAATAAACTTTAGCAGGCATGCGAGAACATTGTTGATGCATAGAAGTTGTCAGGATAACAGGTGGTGCCAATATACATTTGCAGAGTTTTGAAAGCCTTTTTATACCATAATTGATACATAACATCAACATTTCTGCTGTTTATAATTGATCTATTTCATTTTAGAAATGTCATAGTCAGGGTTGATGGCACACAAATCAACTGTTTATGCATATTAAATATATCAAATAGGTCATATATTGAAAGTCATTCATCGGTAACAAATGATGACAAGTATAAAAATTAGAAGTATAATCGATGCATATAGGTCTTGAATAGAATGATATAATTCAGCATACCAGATCCATGCAATATTTTGTCGTGGAAGAAAATCCAATAAACAGAATATTATGTTAGTTTTGTACATTGTGTGCTATAAATAAGATCCCATTATGACATATGGTTGTTGTTGATTATAAGACAATATAGTATGGGTTAAGGGAAGGGGGATATAAATTGCTTACTGGTGTTCTTGGCAATGACATTCAGTTGCAGAAATCAGGGTGGATGAAGAAGGGAGCACCCCCTCCAGGATATATAGTTATATACTGCAAGTTGATAATTATGACTGGTTGCAACTGTTGCTATAAGTATTGATATTCAATCTAATGGTGAATCTCTGCTCTTTATGCAGCCACTATGACTCTGGCTTTACTTTAGTGAAAGCAATTATTCAATGTACATAGGCCACTGCTTTAAGAGAAATATTTCCAATATGTGTGACTTAGCTTCTGACTCTGCTAAATTTGTATAAAAATGATCTACCAAAGTCTGTGATGAAAGCAGACACCAATTGTCTATAGTTTGATCATTGATAAAGAAATTATGTAACCTTACGAAATTATATAGCCTTCTATTGGTTTCATTCAACTAATTTATATTAATTAAAGTCACCAATGAAAATGTTAAATTGAGAAGTACATAAACATCAACACTTACAACTCAATATACACCTACAGCGGCAACATGTGGAAGAATCATTACTTTCATAGTTTCATAATAGTATTCTCAATGCCATTAGTCAATAATTTTCTTGTCAAAAAAATTGCGAATCATTTCGTTTCCACTCCGTATTAAATGATGAAACCCTTCAAATGCTTGCCAAAAATGCACTATGGACATTTGCCATATTCAGACTAGTAAAATGACGTTGTTTTGACTGCGTTTGACGTATAATTTTAATCGTAAATTCACAAATTTCCCTTTGTTTCACCCTTCAGTAAACCGCCATTTTGAAATTAGTATCATTACGTCATTTCATCTATATGCTGTCGTTGATTGGCTATGAGCACGCTCACTTCCAGTACGCGCACGATAGCAATATATCTGCTAACCTGAAATTCAGGTCCTAATTTTAAAAAGGGCCTGACACAAAACCTGTCTAGACCGTGGAACGCCCACATATTATTTTTAGACACAGTCATGCAATAATTATGATTTACAAGTGTTGTAGATTTCATTGCACAAAAAATTTATATTCTCATGAACATGTCCGCAGAGTGTGCATTTTGCTTTTTAATTAAACTTAAAAATTCAAAGTACTTTTATATAATTAAGAGTTCAGTTTCTCTATAGCTATTTAACCGAACAGCAAACAAAGATCAATTAGTCAGTTCTGTGCACGGCTTGAATGCCAAGCTTTCTCAAAGTCTCAACTTGCTGGACGCGGATATACTCTAACGGACAAACAACACCAAGAACAAAATTCTCAATCGTACCACGAAGAAGGCGATGTAGCTCAGAAAACGCCGGTAGGACCTGATAAATAAGACTTTTGCCGAAGCCAGTTGGCAGAACAGCAAAGACATCTTGGCTGTTAACAACAAGCTTTCGAATACATGACTAGTTTTGCTGTTCTTTCAGCGTCGTGTGTCCAAATTTCGTCAAAGATTTTGATAAAGCCCTTTCAAAATACTGTTTGTTTGATTTATTTTCTGCCATAAAGAAGAAATTCGATATAAATGGAATTTGATACATGCGTTTGACCTTAATTGTCTCGTTGACCGAGCTATTTTTAAAACTATTGTTTATGTGAACTTGCGACCAATCAAAATCTTTCATGATGCTGATCAACCAATAAGATTTCCCGTCCACTAGATGTCAGGCCCTATTTCAAATTAGGGCCTGAACTTCAGGTTATATATCTGCATTCGCAGATACAAAAACCACTAAAGAAGAGAAATTTTCCGCACACGTTTTTTTTACCGTGCCTATAAAAATTCGAATTGCGATATCTAGACAAACGTCGAGGTAAACTATAAACATACTTTGATTTTTTTATGAAGGTATCTATATATTTATTCAGTCAGCCAATACTGAAAATGTTGAAACTGAACACCCATCAAATGAAAATTGTCGAAATCAGCATTTTCCTTGCTTTCTTCACTGAAAATTCGTTGCGCAATGTCCAATAGACTAAAACGCACGTTCATCGTGAGAAGTAACCTTAAGGCAATACTGACTCATTTTACCGAGATCAATACCAACCTTTTTCTGAAAGTGGTTCGAAATCAACAGGTTCTTGTTCGGATGATTTTTCAATGCACATTTGTTTTACTAAAAAACAAGATGGAAGATATTCATATAAAAGTCTGTCCTTTGAGGGCCTGTTTCGATCCTGGCTGGGCTGGAACAACATCTTTTTCGAAATTCCGATTGTAATATAAAGTCTATTGAGTGTTGATATGATCCAGCCACATTCCCGCCTAAACTAGATAGCCTTACTCTTTCCCCACCGATCAATGTTGACAATGAAATTGAGTTGGGCGAAACCTACAATTGTTCCACAATACACAACATTGAGTGGTGGGGGGAAGGGGGAGGGTTTGGGGCGTTAACATAACGACAGCTCCGAAAGGATCAGTGTCTTAAAATGGGTCGAGTGTATTTTTCTTATTTTCCACCTTTCTTCCAACACACCACGAAAGTTTGGTGACAGAAACTGGCACTTCTACAGCACACCCAATGACAACGTTGTGTTATGTGATTTATGATTACGAAAGCAACCATCCGATTCAAAATGACAGCCGTTCCAAGCAATGTATACAGTATATACAGTATTAGGAAATGCTCTCTTGTATATACTACATGTATATGCATCAATGAGTGGTTTTATTTGAAGTGAACAACATGACAGTGTACTTTAAACATTCGTTGCAGACTGTTTTGCTCATTCAATAGCATGTTACAGTTCGTAAAGGCCTAATTCCACGACGAGCGAAATGCGAAAAATTTCGCTCGAAAACACACTTGTGCGAAAATTTTTCTCGTAGTGATTTCCACAGTAGAGAAAAAATTCGCCAAAACACAAGCATTTGATTGGTTTCGCTACTTTGCCATCCAAAACACAAGCGTTTGATTGGCTCCGATATTTCCATCCATTTCACAACGGCGTAGAAACGAATTGAACTACCCGGCGAAGAGAAATATTTCGCAGAAAAAAACATTCCAAAATCATATTGCGCATGCGTTCAACCTTTCCGCGCGAAAATTTTCCCATTTCGCACGTCGTGGAATTGGGCCTTAAAATCATTGGAAACTAGCTATGACGAAAATTGCTTGGGATTATTATACGGTCGATTTGAAATAATAACAACTAACACGATTTGACATTCTTATAAATATTATTTGAAATCACATTTTTTGTTGTCCGTATAGCTGAAAATAACAAACGCTACGATGCAAATTTCTCACAGTAGTCACATAGTATTAACTATTTTTAAAATTTCATCACAAAATTGGTTCATATATTCACATGGCATGCAGAAATCAGGGACATGATTTTTCTACTCCCTAACTAATTTGCATACCATCGATGCATCTGCGGACATTGGCTAGATTGTTTGTCCATGCATAAATGTCCTCAGGTTTGGGGATTAAATTTATTCAAATTTGGCATAATAAATTGGTTCGTATTATCGAAAGTTGAGGCGATTTTGAAGATATTTTCGTATGTTACTCATTCTATAACTAAAATATTGTATCGTTTATACATTGTTCTAGTTTTTTATACCCTTTTATTGTCCTAGCATTCGAAATTATTTTCAGTGATTTGTATAACGGTTAAAGTAAGGTAATCTTATACGTGGCAAAACCGTCCGTTGGTCCAATTTTATATTTAAGGTCTGTGACATGTGTAAGGTCTGTGACATGGTTTCTGCAGTAACAGTAAATTATATTACGCGATGCTGTTAGTTGCAGAATAAAGTTTGCAGAAACATTTAGTGTAATATTTGTCTGGCATTAGTTGGCTGGCTCTTCTGCATTTTCGTTTGTTCCTAGTGGCAGTAGTATGGGTATTCTTATATAGAATTAAATAGACAAATGTCGACTAACCTCCGTACAAATATTGTAACTAGTAACTGAAATCAGGTCCACATTACACTAAATACTTCGACAGGCTTTGTTTTACAGCCGGCGATTGAGGCAAGTTGTAAACGATTTACTTTATTCTCAGATTTTGCGATTAACAATGTCGCGGTACATTTCCCAATCGAGCAGAGGACTGGGTCTAGTCGCTTGTTTAGAGGAACAAAAATAAACAATATACCGAATAGGGCACCTAGGAAGTTTTCCTGCATTCCTAAAGTTATTTGTGCAGCCTGAAACGCAACAATTATAATAAAGCATCTTTTAATATAGATTTAGCTCGCTTACTATAACTTGCTGTCCCTCCAAACGCGTCCCTGCAAACATCAACTAGTCCCAGTCTTCTGCTAGATTGAGAAATGGCTAATTCACAGTTTACTGTTGAAGCCATATTTTAAAGTGATATGCAAATTGAGAAGGAAGTAGAATAAACCATGTCCACGATTTCTGGACATTAGAACACATTTATAGCAACTACAGTTATACAGTTACTTGAAACCGATGTTAGTCATACAATTTAAGTCTTAGAATTATGTCGCATATGGCTTTCTAAAAGTTTATGATTGTCAGTATTCAGGGTAAGGTCTTCAAAAGTGGGTTTAGTCATGAAAAGTTGGTGGGGTTCAAATTAATTTTACAGCACTAACTCTCTATTTAAGAATCTCAAAAATCAAGATTACCGTTTGAACACGTCATTTTGATAGCATCAATTTCCACTGTGGAAGGAAAACTTATTACAAACTCTTGAGGAAACATTCCTGTTGTCGACCAGAACGTGTTATTATTTCTGTAAAAATAGGAACAAAACAGCAAATCAAGACAATCCTGTAAAAATCTTGCTTCTTCACCTTATTCTCATGCAAAAATCGTGGCGAGGGTAGTAATTCTGGAAAGGGCAGAAAGCGGATTGAAATCTCATTCAATTATCGCGGCGCATGGGAGTCATAGGTGGCCAGATCATCACTGATCTCAAAAGCATGGCGGACTGCCAGTATTGGAAAGAGTAAGATTTTAGAAGACGAAAGAGAATTGTTTTAAAAAATGAGCATTAAACAAACAACAAAATATGACATCATGAAATACAAGGCAAGATTTTTTGTGTACAGTACGAGTTAGTGTAGGTGTAAATTTATTAATTTTAAATCAACCTATTTTATACCCCCAAAATGCTTACTCTAAAATAAATGACGGTTTGTCAAAAGGTATTAAAATGTCTTGTAGAATCAAAATGGGTCGAAAACGACAAACAGTCCACACTCATACTATGAGTATTTAATCTCCACATAACCGGACTGGTTCAGTGGTTCTATAACTTTTATCACACTATGGGGTAAGTAAAAAATCGTAATTTCAATAGCTCTACAAGACATTTCACATTATAATAAATTAAAGTATGGAAATAGACAATAATAGAAAAGCTGTCAAATACGTGTGTGCTGAATGTGGGCTTATATGTCAGCTGTCTGATAGTTTGCAAATCATATAGAAACAACGAAGAATCCAGAACATTTACTAGATTAGTGTCTACGAAGAAGAATAACATGGTCACAGAAATTAATGATTATGAGTGGTGAAATTGATAAATCGTAATCAGAAATAATTAACAAAATCTGCTGTTTTTGCATTTTTGATCGGAGACGTACTGTGAAGTTTGGGGCAGTTCTCGAAGAGTGCGGGAATTAAATCTGTATTCACATTTAGAAAACGGTGGTTTCCAAATACGAGTTCTATATAGTGTTCACATCCAGATTTATTTAATCGAAACATATATATGAACATTCCCAATGTCTACATCGATAATATGTAATACGGGTACCCACCTTGAATGTCAAGATCTTTTGACAGAAGTATATGTCACAAACAACAGATGTGAATGAAGACCACTGTGTGTAAACTCAACTTGCTTTGTCGGGCATGATTTCATGTCAAGGACGAATACTTTCAGTTATGTCGATAGATGATATGTTGTCAACGGACTACAAACTCGTCATGCGCATTTCGCCAACTCAGAAACCGGACGACAAATCGTGGTGAACGTAACTTTATCCATATACCCACAAGACCCACGAAGAAACAATACTGTTACAGCAATGTGTGACAACCAACAAAAAACAGTGACATATTGGAATTGACAAGACAAAGCTAGTCAGGAGGGGGGGGGGAGAGAAATCGCTTGTGAGGGGTGATCCACGAAAGAATCACCGAAGGTATGTCATCATCGAAAAAATTGCCGACCACGTTGTTATTTGTATCGTAAATTTGCATCGTTTTTATTGGTAAGCAAACTTAATTTTTATTATTGATATACTGCTTGAAAAGTTTTTCAGTGTGGATAAAGATATTTATCGTAGGATTCCTTCTACAAGGATTATATTTCAGTCTAGAATTCGGAAGAAAAACTTTTCAATATTGGAAAGACATATTATATCAAAGTCCAAACACTACTAAAATACCAAACACGATGCCTAATTTCGTTAATTGTAACTCGGGATGTTCTAAGAATCTTATTCACCTGAGTACATTACAACACAACAAATATTATATATCACTTTATAACCGTGTCGTTTTTGTTTCAGATACTGATCTACATATTTATTGACAACTTTATATCATTCACAAGATTAATAAATGAGGTACACTCTAAAAACACTCTGGTTAAATTCAACCAGGAATTGGGTTAGTAATCCACCTAACACATTCTGGTTAAACTTAACCCATTTCCTGGTTAAAAATTATCAATTCAACAAAAATTTGGTACACTTTTTTGGACTTTTAACCAGGAAAATGGTTAATTTTTTTTAACCAGACTTGTGTAGGTGGATTTTTAACCCCGTACTGGTTGAATTAACCCAAATTTAACCAGAGTGTTTTTAGAGTGTACAGTATATACTGTAAAATTAGGTTGTACTCTAAACTTTCTGCAAATGCGGATTTAAATTTATTTCTATATTTTATTTTCATAATTTAATTGGATATCATTGACAAATATATAATGTAAATTTCTCACCAGACAACATGATTCCAAGAAATGATAATCAATATAATTCAACATTAAAAATTAAAATATGTTTTGATACAGTGTCTATGTAAAGGCTCTCACTGCAATACTCAAAGATAACTGCATTTCATTCCTCAAGTTGGAGCGTTTGACGGAGTCTGTGGTTATCACCGTCAGGCACATTAATACTTTCGAAGGATGCATGGACTTAAGAAGAGAAGTTTCTGTGATTGCAACTCATCTGGACAACTAATACCCCTCAAAGTGATGTTTGGTTTTTAACATCCTCATGTGCTAAAAGAGAAAGTTCCTATACCAAAGCATCACGGTTATCTTTTTGTCAATATTCTTTGACTAAGACAATTAAAGTACATCATTAACTGCTTGTTATACATAGGCCACAACGCACCGGAATGAAAATACAGGGAAAGTTCAGTTTCCACACAACTTCTACAATAGGATTAGAGAAAATAAACTTGCAGTCCAACACCACTTATTGCATCGACTTGGGAATTAAAGCGAGGTTTGAATTTGAATTAAATAAATTTGTGTTGTTGTTGTCGTTTTCTTCTTTTGTTGATCAAATCTTTGATTGCTTGTTTTAAAGGGCTCAAAAAATAGAAATTTTTGGAAAGCTTGGGATACACAGATCATTTCAACGTGGTACAACCATGTCCTCCTTCTCCACAACTTATTACGCGAAAGCAAAAATCAAAGAAACAAGGTTCCAATTTTTAATAATTTTCTACACACACAATAAGTGATGCAACGAGAAGCACAAAATAACGTGCCTAAAGAAGATCTAATTTACATAACAAAAGTACTCAGACCTATCACAAGCATTAGGAAATAATTATCCAAGATCACAACTCATTTCATTGCCAAAAGTAACTTACAGATTATTATCAATTCAACCTACTTTTTTCTACATTTGCAGCTTTCAAGATTAGGACTTCATATCACTGATCCCACACACTATCTTTGGTAATTTCATTGGTTCCTTTATACTGACTAGTTATACTAGACCTACTTATGATTAATTTAGCAGAACACTATTTGATAACCTGGACCTCTTTACATTTCTGGTTGAAGCTTTGGAGACACTAACAAAAATAAAATACTATAATCGCTGTACTGTACATGTGCGTTTATTATACATTAAATTATTAACTTCTTCGCACAACACATGTTTGTGCATGCATGGGTTATATTGCAAACATTCTAAATAATATTCCATGTACAGTTGGAGATACATAAAGTACATGCATACAATAAACAAAGAGAAAGTTGCTGTACGAATAAAGCAAAATATGCTTGTGATGTTACTTTGAGTGTATATCCACACCGGGCAGGCTTGAAAATATGCCTGGCCACGGTGGGAATATTTTTCAAGCCTGCCCGGTGTGGATATACACTCAGAGTAACATCACAAGCATGTTATTCACCTGAGTACATTACACCAACACAGGAAATATCAAAGCAAAATATGTTGACAAACATAAAAGTTATATAGTATAACGCAGTGTTCTCTACAGTCGTGAGTGGAACAGGTAAAACCTCAGATTTTTCAACAGGTATAAGCGTCACGTCAAACCCGATTGATAAAGAACATTTTTTGACGGGACGATCATATTGTCAACCCATCGGCAGCGTGGGCCTGGGGACTGAGTAATTAAATAACGAAAAATGTTTAGTTTATTTAACAAGGTGTGTGTTTAGGATATAATCTTTAAATAGACAGTATTCAAAATAAGTTTAAATCTTCCCTCAAAACACAGGATATGCCATTTCGAATTGAGAGACTTCTGCAGATTTCGTGAGTACACCCCAGAGGTTTGTAGGTACACCTACACGAACCGTATTACTAATTATTTCTTAACAAATGTACACAAACTCTAGGCTTCTTCAGGCGGCAATGAGTGGTCGTGTAAACGGTAAATTTTACCCGCCGGTTACCGCCTGATAAGGAGAACCCTGATAATGTTGTGTAAATCTACTCATAATTTGGATTTGCAAGACTATGAAAATGTGATATCATCTAGGCAATGTAGCCTCACACGCAGGGGCGGATCTGCCTCATCTGCAGGGAGGGGTACAGGTTTTCCATGGGGTGGTGATGTATGAGGAAGCCTCTCTGCCCACTTTCTCTGCAGTTTTCGATGCTACTGTCCCAATATTACCATACAATACTTGAGACAGCTGAATTTGTATTTTCGCTGTTTATCTTTTGTTTATGAAGGTTGTAAATTATCAGCATGACTGGACAGTTACTGTTAAAGTACAGAAAATTTTAAAATATGGCTGTACAGTATGACAACCTCGACTACATGTTTGTGTATTTAACCATGATGTTTAACATTGATTTAACTAAATCAATTAAATCATTTCAAGAAATAGACACATGCTAACATTAGAAGTGTCACTAACAGCTCTATTCGAAAAGAAGTAAAGTAAAACATACTGTATGTTCAAGCAGATGTTTTCAGGATGGTGCTGAACTTCTCTAGATGGTGCTAGGCAACATTACCTGGGGTGCACATATGCCACATACCCTTGCACCCCCATAGCAGATCCGCCCCTGGTAAAATTAATGAACTAGTGTGATTGTTACCTCGGATGATCAAAATGGAGAGATGTAATTAGTCTGATGGTGATGTCATTTGAGACAAGTCAGGGTAAAGGAGCCTATACTAATCTTAAATTATATTAAGTTTGTCTAGTAGAAGTCATGCAAAAACTTTAATTTGTGTTTCCTAAATCGATTACTGTGGACAAATTATTCATTTTTTGAAATGACCACCATGGGAGATCATTACAAAGACAATGAAAATAATTTTTGGCATACTGACAGCTTACTGGACAGACTAAGTGTAACTTTATGGCAGTCTAAGCATGTTTTAATCCAAGGTCTGAAATTTTCTCGGCAGTATCCCACTGAGAGACTAGGATTAATTAAAGTTCTAGTATCACATCCAATACCCCATATTTGGATACTATAGTGGTTATATATTTAACACAATTTATGGCATCGCTGAACCAATTATCAAAGGACATATTATACAGTGTTGTAGCTATCATAATTGTTATAAATTACAATAACAACAGGAGACTCAACAGTCTACAACAAACCATGCCGCAAGTTGGAAATCAAAGGCTGCTTGTATTTCCAAGAAGGCAGACTCAAAGCTTTAAAGCCATAATGGCAGATCAATAGTTGGAGATATCGAGCGCTCTCGCAGCTAGTATCCTAATGTGTGAAATTTTGTGATATAATATCCAGTTGGCAGGGCCTTTTTTAACATACAAGCTAGGGGGGGGGGGGCAAATGCCCCCAGTCCCCCCTTGTGGCCCCCCCCCCCCCACGAAATCACATTTTGCCCCCCCCCACCAGGAAAAGTCCCTTTTTCCTAAAATTATACAAACAAACCAGCGAAGATTAACAAATAGATAAATGGAAACTAAGTAAGTTTAAAGTTTTAGGCTTTATCCTTTGTCCTTGTTTAGCAAAATCGATTTAAATTCTTACGTTTTTCTACCACTAAGTAATGATAAATTATTGTTAATAATTTTTTTATTTTTTGGATGCTCAAAATGCAGGAAATAGCATTTCCGGGTCTCAAGTTTCAAACATTTTCTGGGGATTATCCCTCTATTTTAATATTCTACTTTTTGTGCATTTTTTCCTTCTTTAATTTCAAATACAAGTATAGTTAGCATCCATTTTGGAGCAAATTTGGATGCTCAGAATGCAGGAAATGACATTTCCGGGATTCAAATTTCAAAAATTTTCTGGGGGAGTACATCCCCAGACCCCCCCAATCATGCGTGGTATATTGGCCACACACATGGCCTTCAGCCATTGCTATCCCCCTCTAATAATATTATATCACAGAAAGGTCCCTTAAATTCAAAAAATGCCCCCCCCCCCACGGGAAAATCCTTAAAAAAGGCCCTGCCAGTTGGAATACAAGCCATTCACAGTTTGGTATCCAAAATCAAATCTTAGTATCCTCTGATAATGGAATACTGCAAAATTTCAGGCCCTGTATAATCATGCACTGATCTCACCCACGTACTGTACCATGCATTCACTTAAGTTTTGTTGTGACAAAAGAATTCACGATTTCTGATCTGACAAATGAGTGAGGACTTGGCATCTAGTGTTGTATAATCTTTTAATAACAACCTATCATTTACCCTAACTGCTGCAACATATGCCACCCCTGAGTTTAATCTATTGAACCTGTGCCATCCTCTTGACAAGTAAAATTGCCTGGCGCTAGGGCGAAATACAACTTACATGTAACCCATCGAGTGGCAGGCTCAATGGTAAGGGTGACTATAACCCCTTGACAAGTAAAATCATTTGGCATTAGAGTCAAGACAGAGTAAAATTAAATAAAGTACCTGACGGAGTGTATGGTGGATTGCCACTCAGAGGGTTAATGTGTTAACTAAATTATCAAAGCTTATAAAATAGCTTGTGTTATGAACTTCAGCTTTTGACTTCTAGTTGATAACGTGCAGGGTGCATACTCCATGCACTCCTTGCCTGAGATCTCTGCTGTGAGGTAATACTAAATGTGTTGGCGTAAATTGACATGAGAGTCAAAAAAAAGTTTTTGGTACAGCTGCTAGACTAGTACATTTGGTGTCCACACTGGAAAGATTGTACTCTAGTGCAAAGGATTTCTCCCTTCCCACTTTAGACCCTTGGCTGTCTGCATGCATAATGTACACTTTTAGAAAACTTGTGCGCATGCATATGCGCAGCAATTCAGCATAAAATGCACATGCAGCACATTGTGGAGAAAATATTGACTAAAATATTGACTATATATGCATAAAAAATATTTTGCTGCAGTTAAAATTATGGCAATTACAAGTGGATTAATAAATATTTTTGGCATGAAACAAGTTTAAATAAAAAATGAAATAAACAAATGAATAAACATCTCTCTGAACTGCCATCTTGGATTCCCATTGTTCTACAGTACTGTAATCAGGTGTACACAGAGTAGTGACTGAGAGCATTTATGTCATCTCATTTTTTCTTATTTTTTTTGTGCGGACCCTTGGCGTGGACACAGACTGAAAAATTGGTAGTCTGCATAATTTTCAAAATTTTTATGCGCATACTTTTGGGGAACAAAAATGTCTCCTTTGCATGTGCATTATTTGCAAACTTTCTAGTCTGGATTTGTGTGAGATTACTAAGTACAGTTTTCAGTCTCCAAAGCACACAGGCCAGTGTGGAAAGTTTGTACTGTGCGCCCGAGATATCGGGTCATTCGGGTGCGCAATTTTGATGCTTTCTATATATTTACTATTAGTATAATTACATAGACCAGGTGATATAATGCGATAATCACCTATTAAGCGATTTTCGAAATGGCGGCCAAAGCCATTTTGTCAATTAAACGACGAAGAAACATGTAACTATTTTTAAAATTTTTTTCCAAATAATCAACTATGAAATTATACACCTTATAGGCTTGGTGATTATCGTGAATAAAAAACTCGACTTCGTCTCGGGTTTTATTTACCGATAATCACCTCGCCTTTGGCGAATAATTGTTAATTAAATTTTCGAAATCTCGGCCACGCAATTTCCAAGCTTTCCAGTAAGGCACATAGGATTGCCTATTATATGTGACCCAGGATCGGTATCGGTCCTAGGTTTTAGTCCCCAAATTATGTAAATTGTTTTGAAATATTGGCATATGCCCAATATTTATTTTGTATTTTTGGCTATTTATTTTGATGTCTTATCTATCTTGTATCGCCGTATCTCCGACATAGAGTTTACATGGAATGCAACCAGGCTCGATAAATTATAACCTTCATATCATGTTCATGCAACCTCATTCAATATTTCAAAATGAATATCAATAAACATTGACATCGTCCCTGATGATTTTATATGTGTTAATGTGATTTATTTAATCCTTACCCATCAATGATGTTTTCAGGCGGATACTTTTCATCGTATGCTGTCGATAAACTTATCCTAGCCCCACGTTTAACTAGTGCAACTTCTATCATTTTCCTTCAAATTTCAGATCTCTGTTGTCAACAACAATTTACAATGACAACTGGCAATGCTATTATGTTTCACTTTAAATGAAGTATTACTGTAAATCATTGTTTTGGTCTTCCGCTGGTGTCGCGCGGGAGCGAAAAGGAAGGAAAATTTGGAAAAGAAAAGTAAATAAAAATACTAAATACAATTTCAGAGGTCTGCGAAGGTGAAATATAACAGTTAATGTGTCATTAAATGTCCAGGTATGTAACATAACTTTGAGCTCAAATAATTTTTGTTTTGGTTGGAAGTAAACACCATGAATTACGACTACAGCTTGTCGAATGTCGACTTAACGACAGGCAGTCAGGACATAATGACATACAGCTGTACAGTACTACGACACAATCTGACAGCTGCATAATTTTATTGTTTCAAGATTACATCGTCTGTTACACTCTGTTTGGTACTCAGGTCACTTTATTCCTGTTTGCAGTAGTGATATCATTGGGATAGTTTTGTATTTTAAAGTCACAGACTGTGTAAGGGGCGACATCCATACTCAAATTGCCACGCAAAACGTCATTTTGACGTTTTGAGTGGGTGGGTGGGTTTTCAAGAATCAGTTTGACGTTTTGCGTGGCAGTTTGAAATTTTTAAATCAGAAAATATTGAACACATGTGCAGAAATGATTTTGGATGTATATGTAGAAGTTAACTTGAAGAATTTGTGTATTTCACTGTACCAAAGGCTTTAAACACGTTATCAGTTTTCGCGAAAATACGAAAAATATTTAATACAGGTATTAATTTATATCATTATTTAAAACTACATGAGCATTGATTTGAAACATTATTACTCACTGGTAACACCTTTGAGGTCTCCCTTTTATAGTTTTAATAACAATATACACTTGACGTTTTCAGCACTGCGTGGGTGGGTCAAAACAAAAACGTCAAAATGACGTTTTGCGTGGCAATGTGAGTATGGATGTCGCCCCTAAAACGCACTGCTGTCTGTCACTGCATGCATGCACACGCCCATATTTCATGGATTCAATGGAATCGTCATGCATGTTCCACCATAGAGTAGCATACAGTGATGCTTCAGTTTAATCCACCAACATATTCTTTAATCCAAGCTGCTGTCATCTATTTTTTTTCTGCAAACTATGAATATGAAAAACCAACAATGGCAGCATTCTTTCCTAATTGACAAGTAAAATTGTCTGGCATTCAAGTAGAGTGTTTAATAGACAGGGCAAAATAATAAAGTATTGTGCATTGGCACTTAAAGGGTTAATGATCATTGAGTGACGGCACTCTCCCTTTGATGAGTAAAATTTCTGGCGTTATAGAGAGAGCAAAATAATTTATACTTATGTATACGTACTAGTCAATTGACGGCCCCCACAGCATATAGCGGGGAATTAACGAGCACAGAGCCGCGGATAACACCTATTTAATGCTGCATTTCTCCGGGGAGACCGGGGATTTAACAAGCATACTATTTGCCTGGATAAGTAGCCAGGATTTTAATGCTCGGCTAGAATAAAGGCGTGGGTACGAGTGATCTTCGCTTGCTCGTTGATCAACAATGGCGGAATCATTGAGAGGTCATTACAAGTGTTTGAACATGCTCATCGGTTTAGTGCTACACATACTATCTTAATTAGACCAACATATATTTTCTCTTATACTGTATACATTCATGGTCTGCTTGTATATATAGTTGGTTTATACATGTCAGATACAAACCTTGAATTTATGATGACCAAGTACACATTTTATTAATATTGGTCTACGTGTCGTGGAAATTAGAGAATCTCTCGATCGGGAGAACGAAAACAAAACAAGCTCAATTGTTTATTTAATCTTTGTTTACATTATATATTGTATATTGTTTATTAAAGTTTGTTGTAGAAAGTGTTCAGATTTGTGTATTGTCATTTGCTATTTTGTAATTTGTACAAGAGTTCGTATTACATATCCACCAGCTCCTACAAGAGGGCGTCCAATTTTGGTACAACCCAATTTTGTGCCCTAGCTGCACCCCCTGTAGGAAAATACCATTAATGGTAAGAGTTCAGTCTTTACATTCATTTGATTATATACTGTATACATAGTAAATAAAAACCATAATTTCAAAAACCCATTAATGGAAATTTATTTTTTCCCTGTGATTGTACACCTTGCCTCCTGCTGTCCAAAGGGCAAGGGGAGAAAAGGTTCTGATAATAGTAAGTGTATTTATTTAGGGCATCCAAATAGGGTTAACTTTCAATTTCCTCCATGGCAGAGGTATGGATCAATAGAACCCATATGGAGGCCCATTAATGTGCAAGACTCTCCCCTTAATCAATGCATGAGTATATAGACTGCCATTAGACAGAGTAATTAAAATAATAAAATGGTGCATTTCGGCCTGCTGCAGCTTAATGGGTGAATCACCAGTGCAAATTAATCAAAACTTGAGTTGTGATTTGCGATTATTGATGAACTTTAGACTTCGCTAATAGTACCCTCTCCACGGGCTTATGCCGGACCGGCACTCCACGACGTACGTTGGGTTGGGGATTATGTGTTTTTCGTTGGATATGGCCATACATACTAGACTCGGTCTGATTGCTGGTGTTATCCTTCAAACTCCTTTGTGTCCAACTACTACTTCCCAATCATCTTACTTTAACCGTATTGTCAAACTCTTGAACAGAGTGTGTAAGAATGTTGATTCTGACGCTTTCTCTCCAGTCCCATTACTTTTATGTCCTTGCCTTTTTAAATTTTCCATTTATTCATTTTATTCTTATGAGTTATGTAACTGTTATTCTTAGACTTCATGATATATTGTATGATTTTTAAATATCCAAATAAATTTGTGAAAACAAAACAAAACAAAACTTTTTGCTGAACACTATATGCCAAACACTATATACCCCAAACACTATGCGCCAAACGCTATACCTTTGAACGCCTGAATTAAATACAAGATTTCAACATTGTCGTAAAATTTTTTTAGTGATTTTTATATCCGCCAGTTTGATTCCCACAAATTGTCAAATTGTGCATTTAAATTTAATTCCATCGCCCATATTATGAAGAGAAGATATGGGTTGCATGAGCTACGATTAGGATTCGATTACGATTTTGAATAAATGTGCTATATATGGAACAAAACGCATAGTAAAAAAATGCACGGTTGAGCGTGCAATGGAAGCCTTCCGTTGCCCGCTGAGCAAAATGTAATTTTTATTCCATATCACGTGGTCATTATCAGCCAATTAAATGGCCGAAATTTGATGAGGTACATGATACGCTATTGACTATGACTATGTGGGACTATAGACGCTATACTATAAACTACGTGGACGACTGGACGTTCTTCTGAATTTTTTAGTATTATTAAGAGTTAGCTGGCAAGCGATCTTTCTTGCGAGTTACACATTTTATAAAATGGGAGCCCTGAAGCTTAAGACCTATCAAAAATATATCGTGTGGTTCTGGTTTCATACTTTCATATCATGAAAAAGTACGAAAATATTTTTGGGGAAAAAACTTTTTTTGCTTGACATCGATCAGTAATGCGCGTGAAAGTGGTCAGTTGGCATCAGCACATAACATTTCAATAACTATGGGCGACCTACGAAAAAGGTAGGGTCGGCATACCACATCGAAAAATCAAAAGGGTCGGCACAAAAATAAATGATAGGTTGAGTAACCGGAACACAGGATATTTTGTGTTAGGCCTAACCTTGATCACTGTATAGTATCTATAACTTTATTTATAACAGCTGTTCCATTATGTAATCAACTTTTACTGCATATAAATAAATTAACAATGACATGTAAACTATCCTCTAGGTGCGAAAAATGCTTTCTCTACAACTTGTGGCAGAAATCCAAGCCGGAACCTCCCTTGTAACTCCATTCCAACCATGGTGGGAAATACTTATAGATTACTCGCTCACTGGTATACTGATGGCAGTTCTATTAGGACTGGCTGGTGTTACACTTACTGGTACAACTGAAATTGTATGCATACCAATCGTGAATGGTAGTCTGTCGACTGATCTAAGTATTTCTTCATATGTGAATTCAAGGTAAGAAATTTCAGTCGATTTCACGTAATTTTTGCCTGAATGTTCCGAACTTCGTTCCAAAGTTCGTAAATTCGTAGTTCATATTGAAATTCACAGACCAGTTTGTAAACAAAGCCTCTAATTTGTCCTTGAATTTAAAGAATGGTTTAAAGGACGAAGTTCGTAACATTTAACCCCGACGACAATATTCTTGGGCATAAAAACTCCCAATTGCCGAATTTAGTGAAAACCTACATTTCATCCTGAGTGAAATATGGACAAACGTGGAACTTTTTTATAGCACAATTTTCTCACAGTTTCTGTTCGAAGCGTCAAGATTTGAATGTGCGATGACTCTCAAAAGCATCCGGCATAAACATTGGAACAATAATACATGGCGAAGCACCGCCAAAACCATCCAATTTTATAACAAAAGCAGAATGCATGACAATGAATAATTCACAAATTCATTTTGTCACAAAGCATATTTCTATGAAATGAGTCATCGTTTGAAAATAATAGTAGTAATCAACACTTATATTGTGTTAAGAGTTCGTTTATGATAAATAGATTTGAAAAAAACGATCAACAGAAATGTGAGGTTTCTTTCTGAATTTAGTGGGTTTTGTCACCAGTAATGTTGCTGTCTGCGACTTTGTCAGTGGGGGATTTTGTTGATTTTTGTCATGTTCTGCTTTTGTCATGGGTTTGATGTTGAGATGCACGGTATGCCTTCTTTCCTGAAATTTAACATGATTATGCATTCTTGTCTTCATTATTATGTAGATGTTCCAGAACATTTGGTGGGAGTTTTCTCCTCTACTATCCATATCTTGCACTTGTGCTTTATCTGGTGCTACTATTTGGTCATATAATATCGGTGAAGCTCCCGTCCACAAGTTCATTTCTTGAACTTATGTTTCAACTTTTTGCCGACTTCAAAGCGCTTCGAAACTCGTCAGCGTACTTTGGAGGCCAAGCCGTAGTGACCAACCCTGAAGAACAGCGCATGAGCAACGAGACGCAGAAAGGCGGAAAACTTTACAAAGTACTAAAAGTTGAAGTCAAAGAACAAGTCATCGGTCTGGTGGAACGACTTATTCAAACTTTGAAATCAAATCCCGGCTTCTTCGTGGTGTACGTGGTGAAATCGGTTATTCTTTTTGTCGGGAGTGGTTTAGTAATTGCTGGGAATGTTGTAGCACTTGTTATCTATGATTGGGCATTGGTGTTTGATTGTGAGCTCAAAATGTCCGTCGCTGCTTTGTATGAAACAACAACATGTACAATTCCCGCAGCCCCTTTCTTGTACAGTCTAATGATTGTAACTGCAATTTTTTCGTCTTTCATTCTAATTTTAACCTGCCGAGCAATTTTCTGGCTGATTCAAACCAGAAATTTTCAGTCAGATTATTTGCAAATGTGGAAAAAGGGAAAGCATATACTCAGTGAGCAACCAGGATTTCGAGATTTTACTTTCTGTTTAATGTTAATGAAGTGTAACGGGACGGACGGCGAAGCTGTATATGAAACCGTGAATTCCAGTCTACAGATATACACTAGTCTTAAGATCGAGCAACATCTTGAGAAAGACCAACTCCTCGGCACGAGTGTAGCGTCTGATGTACAGTTCGAGCAGGCTAATTATATTTGTGATTTTATGCTTCGGGAAATGGGTATGCAGAGCAAAGAGACGGGAGAGAGTCATGATTTGATTAACACAGTGAGCGGTCTCTATGACTATATGGGGATAAACGGTGGTGACAAGGAAGGCGCCGAAAAGAGGTAGGAGGTATTTTGCATTCAACCCTTTTTCTCGTTCCTTATTGATCAATATTTCCAAATTCTGTATTCTGACTACATGTATATTCATTTGGTTCTTGTGCAGAAACTGATCAATTTAAGGCCGCTGCAAATTTACTGTAATCAATGCCACGAATGTTAACGCTCGTTCCAGCGAAGAGCAGTTCCCTTTCGTGAGCGCCTTAAAAACTCGAAACCCGCCGGGGCGAGTGCAATTTGGAAAAATTTTTAAACATGACAAGTTTTGGTAACTTTTAATTGAACAAGGAACATCATATGATTATTAATTTATTTGGCCAATTGAAAAAATAGTTGATCATCGTCCCCGCCCGTCCATAAAAATGAGCCTGCATACCCAGGATTTTTTTTAAATTTTCTATTCAAAAACAGCAACTTTTGTCACGTTGAAATTTAAAATTTTCATGAGTTCCTCTATAAATGGTGGATCACTCGACACTGTAGAAGTCCAATGTAACAGTCCTGAAATAAAGTATACCTTAATTGTTATGTATTTATTTGACGCAAATTTTAATCTTTGTATAAAAAATAAAAATAATGCAGACAGAGCCAATATCTCAAAAGCCCGCCGCCCGACTTTTGGCAAAAGTAAAGGACGATGGCCAACTTTTTTCTTTTTCTTTTATCTGACCAATATTTACGAATTCTATTAACCCATGGCTTTTAAAATGCACTGACCCTACAGTACTTTTGTTCTTTTGCTTGTCCTTTTACTTGAAAGCATTAGCTATCGATAGTTACTCCGACCCGTTCATTTCCGCATTTCTGTTTTGTCAGATTAAGAAATGCTGTCGTGGACGAACTGATCTCACACCCAACCCGCTACAAGGACATGATTGATAACAGCAAGGAAAATCTCTTGACATTTCGTGAATATGTGAGAAGCATTAAAGACGGATCTTTCGTGTCTGGCCAGGTGTTTGAATGTAACTTCGTTTTAATGGCGTTCGCGAACTGCACTCACTTCAAGATTGTGGTATTACGACCTAAGTTGTGCTCGTTTGTTTTCACTCCTCTTTATGAGGAAGGAGAACACGTGAAAGTTTGTTATCTGAAGCATATACCACCAAGGGATTACATTGCTGTGCTTCCACTGGATGAAGCATCAGATGAACAAATGTTAAACAAAGATCGGTTTTTAGAAAGTATGGAATATGCAGAAAAGCTTCAAGATAAAGCACTAAAATCATGGCGTTCGACTGGTTACAAGAATTTCTTACAAAATTTAACATCGCTTTTGCCCAAGTATCTCACTGGTACTGAAGATGTTTTTGACAAAGTAGACGGATCTCATATCAATCGTCCAGTTATGTCTCACCTCACGCTTTTAGAAGACATTGGTGTTGGAGGAAATGAAGATGGGGAGAGCGAAGCGGAGGGAGGTGCGAAAGAAGAAGAGGGATCTATGGTTATAAATTGATAACAGGACATGTTTTTATATTGAGTAGAGTTGCCAGGAAATAAAGTGTGCGATAATTCAAGACTTTTTTGTCCCTCGCTTGTACTCCAAAAATTATTCTTAGGTATTTATGTCGTTAAGAATTTAAATGTCCAGGTCTACTTAGTCTTTAAGATAAGGTATATGAAGCAGAGTTTTCTTTTAATAAACTGAAACAGACTACAGTACGACTTAGAACTAGTGAGCTAGCTCCATATATATCTAGAGCAAGAACTTCAGTTATTCGGCCCATGAGAAAAGCTAAGATGGCGGCAATTGACGTCCAATAGCTCTGCGGGTCGTAAACGGCTTTTATTCCATTTTCCCAGCTAATTCCAGTTTTTTCTAACGGACCGTATCGTTAACCAAGTTATCAGTTCATAAAACCATAGTGTTATCTCCTTTAAAACGATGTCAAAATACGAAACGTCGGCACACTTCTTGCCAAGATGGCGGAAATTGAAGCCGCTATATTCGACGTTATTGTCTGCGCGGTTAACAAGCTGGCTTCACATTTTGAACTCGAGTTCTCGCTCCAGATATATATGGAGCTCAGTGTTTAAATAGCGATTGTAGCATTTTAGATAGCGATTGTAACATTTTGCACTGAATGGGTAACGCATCTCTTAATAAATTCGTGCAAAAAATGAAGCCGGAAGTGACACTGTCGCCACCTCATTAAGGCTCCCACTATACTATATTTGTATTGCAGAATCATAGTTGCGCGTCTTTTATCGAAAATTGTGTATATTTTATTCAAAATACACCCAAAACATGGAATAACTGCTACACTACAAATATAGTGTGGAAATTGGTGAAATGAATAAGCTATGCGGTACACTGCATACAAACCCGTTTTAAAATGAGCTGGATATCAAGTGATCAATATCATTGTTCAGATACCAATTGAAATTGATAATTTTTTTGTACTATAACAAATGCACTGTTACATAAAGAGAATTGTTATTATCATGTCAAGATTCTGGGCTTATATTCATGTCTGTATCTATACCTGAAATAAAAGGACTATGAAGATGTCTGTAACTGTGTAATATCCCTTGTAAGACCATACTGTACTGTTATTGTAGTGTTTTGTATTTAACAAATATAAAACATTTTCCGTGTTGTGATATACAGTTATATCAACACGCGTGGGAATTGGGAAAACGAGAAATTGTGTGGTGAAATTGTGAAATGCTATATTATGTATTGTATTGTCTTTGTCTTAGGATATCTCAAAATCATGTCTGCTCACAGCTTAAGTTTTTAAACTTAATTAAAAAAACTCGCTTTTGAAAATTTGGAAGCAAATTTTGAAAAATGTTAGCATCAATATCTCAAACCGTCAAACGATATATATGTGAATCGAAAAGTGCCAAATACTTGCTGTAATATATTTTAGACTGCTCAATTAGATGTATTATATTCCGTAGTAAGACTTTCTCATAATATCAATTCGAATCTAGACTCTAGTTCATTAGTTCGATTCTTCAACGTAAAAATCCCCAAAACAACAACCTATTGTCTTATAGTCCACGCCCCTATGACGCGTGCGTAATGTCCTATTTATAAATGTCTATTAATAAACAATATCTCACACTCCCCCCTTGACCAGTCACAACTGGTCAATCATGGACTGTCTTTTCAAGTCTACGTTTATTGCCGCTATTCTCCTTTGTCTTGTTGGTTTTTCTTCTTTCTGAATGTCTGCATCTTGTTTTGACTCCTTACTGTCCTCGTTTTTTCTTTCTTCCTTGATCTCTAATGGCACAAGTTTTTGAATTGGACGTCGTAATACGATTGGTTTCCCTTTCTTATTCAACGCTCGTAACTTTACACCTCGTACTTCACCGTCTTTACTTTTAAGCAAAGCTTCAACTCTACCGATCTTCCATTGACTCCTAGGTAGACCTTCTCCTTGCACAAGAACTACTTCCCCAACTTCTACTTCCGGAACCGTATTGTTGGTATATGTAATATTTCGATGAAATTCCCGTAGATCAGCTAAGTACTCCTTGTTCCATCTCTTCCAGAAGTGCTGCAACAATTGACTCAAGTATCGTTGTCTCCGTACAATTGCATTACTATCTTCCTCACTGTCACTAAATTCCTCTGGATCTGGTAATGTTGATATCCGCCTTCCGATTACGAGATGTGATGGTGTCAATGGTTCTCCATCAGACAATTCCGAATATACGTAAGTCAATGGGCGAGAATTGAGTGATCCCTCAACTTCTGTCAACACCGTGGTTAACTCTTCAAATGTTAATCTCGCATTTCCGAGTATTTTACGTAGACTCCTCTTAACTAACTGTACCATACGTTCATAGTATCCACCCCACCATGGGGCACGTTCCAATATGAAGTTCCATTTGATCCTAACAGTTGTCAAGAACTCTTCCAGTTTCTTATCTTTGAACAATTCCGCAAGTTCCTTATCTGCCTTTTTAAAGGTCTTAGCGTTATCCGATGTAATGGATACTGGAGTTCCTCTCCTTGCTATAAAACGTCTTAAACATCGAATAAAAGCTGTAGTTGATAAGTCATGTACTAGTTCCAAATGTAGAGCTCTTGAGGTAGAACATGTGAATAGACATATATATGTCTTCTTCATCTGCTTTTTAGGGTCGCTAGTTTTTACAAACAAAGGTCCAGCAAAATCGACCCCCACATGTGTAAAGGCTGCTGTTTCCTTGACTCTATGTTCTGGTAAACTGGCTTGTTTAACCGGTTTAAATGGTACACTATGGACTTTCCTACACTTTACACATCGGTTAAGAGTGTATCTAACCAATTGACGACCTTTTGGAATCCAATATTTACTCCTTAACTCTGTTAGTGTCTCTTTTATTCCTCCATGCTTGACTTTCTTGTGACAGGACTCCACGATCAATTGAGAAATGCTGTGATCTCTCGGCAAGAGAATTGGGCTCCTTGTTTCCACGTCAGTAGATGCATTTTCCATTCTTCCTTTACATCTGATAATGTGATCTTTATCGGCATAAAGTCCGAGTTGGTTGGTCAGATCTTGGTAATTCTTCTGTTTCTTCACACGTTCCTGTATTTCTCTGATCCAAATTTTCTCTGCATCATCAATTTCCTCAATAGTGAGTGTATTTGGCTTTAACAATGGATCAATTTTACCACAGGCTTTCTTCGTTTTGAGATTTCTAATGAATCTCTTAACCCACGCTGTAACACGAAACAACTTGGTTACGCTACTGTAAGACTTGTGGTCTATTATCTCTGAGATTTTTGTTGAACCGACTGTTTCTGGTGGATGTGTTTCACTAACATTTGTCACATTAACCACTGTGGTATTCCTTTTGGTAGGTAATTTAACGCGACATTCTTTCATGCACTCTTCGGAGAGTTCTACATCACTTTGTGCAAACTCACGATTTGGGTATGCAGAGGGATCAAGTGTTAACCATTGCGGGCCTTTCCACCATAAATCATTTTGTGCTAGTTCTGAGGCCTTCTGTCCACGAGAACCAATATCCGCTGGGTTTTCTAAACCTGGGCAAAATCTCCAAGTTTCTGAATCAGTTAATCGTAGAATTTCGTCGATTCTGTTTTGTACAAATTGTTTATAATCCTTCTTACCCTTAATCCAGTGAAGGACAGTGGAGCTGTCCGTCCAACAAGTGGTCTCCGTGATGTTAAAGATTTTGCTTAGAGTCTCTTTAACAACTGACATGAGACGTGCTAATATCAATGCTGCTATTAACTCAAGTCGAGGGATAGACATTGGTGCTAATGGGGTGACTCTACTTTTCGAGGCAACAAGATTTGTTGTGCGGCCACTGTCTGTTTCCATGCATATATAAATGACAGCACAACAAGCTTTTTGGGAAGCATCTCCAAATCCGTGAAGAGTCACACTTGCAGGATTCCTCTCCTCTGCCAAAAAGTAATATCTAGGTACAACTATAGAACTCACCGTCTCTAAATCATCAATCCATTTCTCGAGCACCTTCTGATTGGATTCTGATATGACTGCATCCCATTCATACTTAGCTGCACACAATTCTTGTAGAAGCATTCTCAGCAAGACAGTAACTGGCGAGAGAAGTCCGAGTGGATCAAACAGTTTTGCTGCTATCTTTAAAACGTTCCGTTTTGACGGCTCTAAATTTCTTGCAAATTGAACAACTTTTGTTAACTTTAAAACAAAAGTATCACTGTCAGTATCCCAATTCATCCCAAGTACCTTATGTTCCTTCGGGGTTTCTATTTCTTCCAGACCGCCAATCGACTCTTTAGCATATGAACTTTCACCGGTGTTGTTCAAACGCTCTGTGGTTAGTGACTTTAATACTTCCTCATCATTCTGAATCTGAGCCATCAATACTGGACTATTGGTAGCCCATTTCCGCAGATTAAAATTGCCCGCTGCGAAACAAGATTTCATCTGTCGATACATTATATATGCATCATCCGTGGATTCTCCTCCTCCTGACCAATCATCAACGTAAAGCTCAGAAAGAATCCTTTCTGCAAAGCTAGGGTCATCATAATAGTAATTCGTAATGTGGTGACGTAATGTTGCGTTCAGGAGAAATGGAGAGCACTTCATGCCAAAAATAACCCTACAGAAGCGGTAGACTTCAACATATGGATTTTCCTTGTTTATGTCATCGATCCACAAGAAACGCATCATGTCCTTTTGTTCCTCATCAATAGCAATATTGAGAAATGCCTTCTCAATATCTGCAACCATTCCAATTCTTCGTCCTCGAAAACCCAAAAGAACCTTTAGAATATCTGTAGCCAGAGATGGTCCAGTGTGAACGCAATCATTCAGAGATGGGCACTTTGGTTTAACTTTTGCACTGGCATCGTAAACAACTCGCACCTTTGTAGTGGTTGCATCTTTTCGTACCACGGCTTGGTGTGGGAGATAGTGTGTAGTGCCTGGTACTGAGTCTTCATTTTGATCTTCAACCTTTTCAACAATTCCTTGACTTAATTGTTCTTTAAATATCTGGTTGTATTCCTCAAATAGACTGGGTTCTTGCCTTAAACGTTTCACTTGCGAGTCTAATCGTGCTAGA